CCTGGTGACTCGTGTCTGGAATGTTATCCACACGAAGTTCAGGCATCTTGACTATCTGATGGAATAAGTTTTAACACGCCATAAAGAAAACCAATGATTCTAAATGTATCCACTGGATAAGATTTATCCAACGGATAGCGTTATCCATCCTTTGTACAACCTTGCCCTGGTGACTCGTGTCTGGAATGTTATCCACACGAAGTTCAGGCATCTTGACTATCTGATGGAATAAGTTTTAACACGCCTCAAGAAAACCAATCCAATGTCATATTATCCCCGGGGGGGGGAGGGGTACTCCCTTTGTCCAAGTAGCGAAGGTGGTCGGCGGTCCGTTTTGAATTTAAGACAGCTGTTGAAATCATGCTGATCTCTTGAGACCCATAGGATGTACAACTATCTATACAACATCTTTCTTCTGTTCTTTCATGTTAACAAATCAAATACAGCATAAAAAAACTGGCTAAGCACAACTTCACCAAGTATTTATTTGGTAAAACTTAGGTATTTGGTATAGAGTTCTTTTTTGTTACTATGAAAAACAAAACAAAGATAACGAGAAATATATAGTTATATACAAGGTGATCTATGTCTTAATTTAGTTTTTGTTGTATCCTCTTCTGGTGAGCTGTTAACATCAATCGACGTCATATAATAATAATATTAATAAATAGCTGCTTATAGGGCGCATTTCTAACCTCAATGTGCCTAACAACGCATATTTCTAATCTCAATGCGCCAAACAAGACATATATATATATATATATATATATGATAACTAAAAATAATGTTTTTGAAACAAAAATGTCTTAAACTTAGTTTTGAAAGTTTCTACTGTTTCTGCTCTTTTAATGTGTTCAGGGATTGAATTCCATAATTTCGGCGCTGATGTTTGCGAAAGCGCGTCCGCCATAGGAATTGAATTTGATAGATGGGATCCATAACAGTGACCGAGTTGAAGATCGCAAAGTTATTGGTGGATATACTATGACATAGCTAGTATTTCTGCCCTGAACGCCCAACATTGCCTTGATGGCCAAGATGGCCGCCGTATCAGTCGAAGTAGTCCACTGAAATCATTTATTCATTCTACAAATTAGCACAAATTGTAGGTTTTGACTGCGGTCTTCCTTTGTATTGACAACTCTTAAAACTCCAGTGTATGCGGACTTAGCCTCGAATCCAGTAGTTGCTTTTTTTGTTATTCTAATTTCTGGTGTTTTTTTATTGACCACAGACTGAGGCTAAGTCCCCATTCACTCAAGTTTTACTAAGAGTCGTCAATAATGATCAAAACTGAACACTGCGCCATATTGAACCATATGATATGAAACCCAATCAGTCGACCTTTTATGGTCATTTTTGCTGTTCCTGGAATCTTTGGATTACCCCGAGTGGTCCACTCGTAACCAATAATATGGCCTGTTCGAATCACGCCATTTGAAAAGGTCAAGGTAAATTAGTCATTCAAATTGATGGCAAATAGCTAGTCCTCCCTTGGCGTGCGTTTTCCGGAAATCCTATAATGACATTCAACATATTGAAGCTGTTGAAGTATTTTTTCGTATCTGGTTCCTCAAATAGTATTGCC